TGCCATCCCTCGATTACTCTTGTCGGGTAAGGAGTCGAAATCTTCTGGGGTGGATTATTCTTTGATACTTATAAACCTGTGTTTTTGCATGTTTAAAGTTTCCCTGAATTTTGAAGTATTTAACACTTAACCTACCAAGGCCGCTCAAATTGACCGTTTCAAACTTCGCATATAACTTAGATATTTTTAAACGTTAAAATACCATTATCAAACTATATGACAGTTTTTAGAATATACTAATAATATTTTCTTCACTGTTTGATTTTAATTATATTTTCTATTTTCCGGAAAAAAATTGTTATAAACACCACGGTCGGTCAATTTGACCGGTGGAAAATAATGTTATTTAGGGAGTTGTTTTCATCGAAATGTAGGTGAGATTTATACAAAATATACCAAATGAATCAAATAAACCAGATAAATTTAACATAAAGTTCTGGATGTGTGTGTCACTAGTAAATATGGTTTGCCCTATTTAGGAAATGACAAGGGGGGAGATTGTTCAATTCTTCAATTGTTTAGTTTGTTGTTTGAAAACTGATAAATTATTTCACAAATTTTGAAAGGAATGGTATAAACCAAATTTTATACTCTCACAATATATAAAAATAACCGAAAAGCATTTTTAGGCACGAATTTTTGTTACAGTTAATTTTTTAACTCGGCGATGGATATTCAAAATTTCAAGAAAATCAAGCTTTTATCAACATGGTGGGGATGGGGACCGTAATTCTAAATTTAAAAATAAAAATCAATTAATATCGTTGCAGCAATAATAAGTTATAATTACGGATTTATGAGTTGTGTAAAAAATCTAATTTCTAATTGGAATAAGAAGTGATCAATCAGTAGTAAAAATCATTTATTGAGTAATAGGGCACGAAACTCCTCGAAGTTAAAATATTTTTTGTGACATATAGAAGTAAAATATGATTTTTTTTGCGAAAAAATTCGATTTCCTTTTTTTTGTTTTCTCTACGTTTCAAGTCATTCTGAATCGAATGATACCAAATTTGGAAAAGAGCCTATTTTTGACTTTTTTTCGATGTTTTTTTTCAAAAACGGCTAGACCGATTTCAAAAAGCCATTCGATGTAACTCGATAAGGACTAGCTCAGTTTTGTGCGACGATCGGGCGAGCAGTTTCTTTGCAATTAGCAGAAAAGTGTAAAATTGGTAGTACATGATTTAGCTAACAAATTTTAATCGTTTTTAGAAGTTCAAAAACTGTTTGAAAGATATTGATAGAGAGTCGCGTTGATTAGTTTTTGGTACAGATCTGTCGGGCTGTTTATTCGTAATTAAATGTTTAAAACATTTTTTGACGATTTTTATGAAACTTTGTATAATGATAGATTTTATATTCTTAAATTATAACATATGAAAATATTATATAAGCCCTACGAATCAAAGATTATACTTTCGCCGAGCGATTCTAATAAGAATCTATGCCGAAGCATATATGCACGTTTTCTGGTGTTTCATAGGGAGCTACTAATTACAGTTGAGGTCCACACTTGAATAAAATACATACATTTTTAAAACACGAAATTGATGAAATAAAATGTGTTAAACTAGTTAATTTATTAAAGTTCGAAATACATTGATTAGAAATCGTATTGCTTTATTTTAAGTGAAAGCGAAAATGTTATTTTTGAAATAAACAGTTGAATATTTTATCTGAATATCTGTATCTCATATTTCTTTGATATTTTAGTGTAGACATGAATTTTAGGCCATTTTTAAATCATTGGTAAGAAGGCACTACATTTTTGTCATATTTTTTAACTTCCAATAATCGCAAAAAAATCGGAAATGAAAATGTTTGCATATTTTTACGTTTCAAAAGTTTCTGAACATTTTGGCATACTTTAGGAAAAAAATGGATGTATGTGTGTTTGTGAGTATGTACGTATGTTTGGATACAAATTTTCGTCCACGATTTCAGGCGCATCGATCAACTGATTTGAATAATTAAAAAAAAACATTCGATTCCTACTGATAAGGAGACATGCTGATTAGTTTTTGGCAAAGGCAGGTGTAGCCGTTTTGGAGATACGGTTCAAAAAGTGCCAAAAATGGTATTTTAGTTTGAGATAACGGAGCGTCCGATTTAAATAATTTAAAAACGTTTTACTGGTATTGATTATAAATAAACAATTGGTAAAATTTTTGTAAAGGCGTCTCCGGAGATCCAATAAATGAAGTAACTAGTGGTGTATGGCATCGTGCCTTAAGGCAAATTGCTGGAACTTCCCGTACCGTAATGATATATTCGAGAAATTTTAAACGTTTTCAAATATATTATTACAAATAGTGTAACTTTCATTATTTTTGCTATCTTGTTATATCTGAGCACAAATCAAATGTAAATCATAAAAAAATCAATTTATCTCCAGAACATTAACAATCGTCATTTCATTTCGAATTCAATTTAAAAAAAAAATAGTTGCCTAATTTACATAAAATTGAAAAAGCTTCCGTATAGCCACAGTCTAAACGCATTTGCAAATAATTCTGTGCGACATTTTCACTTATACTGTGCTTACCTTGGCGGCATTTTCACATTTTTCTATAGTTTTCACAAAATTGTAAAAGTGCTCCCGCACAGAACAGTATAAACGCACTTGGGTAAACATTTGTACCAGAGTGGCGCTTAGACTGTGCTTAGCCAGGGCAATTTTTTTGAACTTTTAATCCAAAATTACAAAAATATTTTGTAAAAAAAAAAATTAGAGACAAATTTTTTTTTCCAAAAGCAATTATTTTGTTGAAACAAGCAGAAAGTTCTTTGAATCATTTAAATCGGACGCTTAGATCTCTCAAAAACTGCAATTTTTTTAACATTTAACTCTGTATCTCCGAAACCGCTGGGCCTACCTTTGCCAAAAACTAATAACCACTTTTCCCCGTCATTACGAACTGAATGTTTTTTGGATCATACAAGTCGGATGATCCGTTCTCTCAAAAACTCGATTTCTATTTTCTGCACTCTTTGCTCCATATCTCCGTAACGACTGGACTTGCCTTTGCCAAAAACTAATCAACACATCTCCCTATCAATAGGAATCGAATGTTTTTTGAACCATTGAAATCGGTTGATTCTTGCGCCCGAAAATGTGAACGAAAAAGTGCGGACATACAAAACATACACACACACACACATCCATTTTTTCTGAGGTATGCCAAAATGTTTAGAAACCTTCAAAACGTCGAGAAATGCAAAAATTTTCATTTTCGATTTTCAGCCCATTACTATAACTTTTCTACGGGAAGTTAAAAAATAATACCATTAGGCGGTCAAAAATAAACATTAGACATATGTACATCGTATTATTAGATATTTTATAAAGATTATAATGATAAGTACAATTTTTGTACATTTCTATTGGTACCTTACTACACGTTAGACGACTACGCGGCGCTCACGCGCTTTGATATTTCGACTCCAAATGCAGCGCGATTGCTTAAAAAAATGTTTACAATTTTCATAATAAATACAAAATATAACTAGTGGGGTGGGTGGCATCGTGCCTTAAGGCAAATTGCTGGAACTTCCCGTACCGTAACAAAATGTTCGAGGAATACTGAATGTTTTCAAATAGATCATTATAAATATTGTAACATTGTCTAATATTTATAAGAATTATATAAACTGAATAGCAAAGTTGAAATTATTTGTAAAGTATATTAGAACTATAGTCAGAATTAAAAATAAAATCTGAATTATTTTCGATATACAAAAAAATTAAAAAAAAAAAAAAAAAGTTGAAACAAGAATTTTTTTTCCAAAATTAATTATTTTGTTAAGATAAGCAGAAAGTTCTTTGAATCATTTAAATCAGACGCTTAGTTATTTCGAAAACTGCCATTTTTTACATATTTAGCTCCGTATCTTCGGAATAAACACTTCTCCCAATCATTACTAATTGAATGTTTTTTAGATCATTCAAATCGGATACTCCGTTCTCTCAAAAAGTCGATTTCTATTTTCTGCACTCTTTGCTTCGTATCTCCGAAACGGCTGGATCTGCCTTAGCCAAAAACTATTCAGCTCTTCTCCCTATCAATAGGAATCAAATGTTTTTTGAACCATTCAAATCGGTTGATCCGTGCGCCCGAAAACGTGACTGGAAATATGTATCCATACATACATACACACATCCATTTTTTTTGAGGTATGCCAAAATGTTCAGAAACCTTCAAAACGTCGAGAAATGCAAAAATTTTCATTTTTAGTTTTCGGCCCATTACTATAACTTTTCTACGGGAAGTTAAAAAATAATACCATTAGGCGGTCAAAAATAAACATTAGACATATGTACATCGTATTATCAGATATTTTATAAAGATTATAATAATAAGTACAAATTTTGTGTACATTTCTATTGGTACCTTACTACACGTTAGACGACTACGCGTAGTACTAAACTACAACCACTAAAAAAATGTGTACAATGTTCATAATAAATACAAAATATAAAAAAATCTAGTTTTCCAAAAATGACAATTTTTTAAAAAAAATTCAAAATTTCTCAAAAATCTAATTATTTTAAAGTTTTGCAAAGATTTTTTTAATAATTTAGTTTTCTATACGGGAAGTTCCAGTAATTTGCCTTAAGGCACGATGCCATGCACCCCACTAGTTTGTTTTATGTTAATTATAGATTTTGACTATATCTTTCTCAGCACGACTTATGTCAAGACATACAGGTATTCCTAGCATTCGTTTCGAGCACGAGTAATGGACAAAAGGAACTTCCATATGAGATTAAAAAAAAAGCGCTTCAGATAACATTGTCTGGATACGGATTCCTAGTAGAATCTCGATGGGTTCTCGTCGTGCAAATGACCGAGCTATGGGATCGTACAACTCCGCTCACGCCGAGCATTTCCGACCGTGTGATCCATCTGCGAGTGGCAAGTGCATTGTTGTTAGTGCTGTGTCTAGCTTCCACGCTGAAGGCGAGATATCAGTGATGCCTCAGCGGTGTTATTAGAGCGTGCTTTCGACCACGCGCTTTTTGTCTAAAAAAATTACTTCAGTATTATATTAATTTAAAGTTTCAGTGGATATTTGTGATAAAATGTTGTTTAGAAAATAAAATGTTAAACCGTTTAGTGAGACATGGAAGTATTTTGTTCACAAAACACGAAAGACATATCAACAGTGTTGTTTGTTGCATTCAGTGAGTGAAGTTTGTGAGAATTGTGATGAATTAAACGTAATTTCAGTCGTGCAACTTGCCGGACCTAATATTTGTATGAATAGAGAAACCGGTAAGAAATTTTCGCTGCATATATATATATATATATATATATATATATATACACCTAAGTCTCTTTTTTACACGGTAGATTGGTTCCAGAAGAAGCCGTGTAAAAAAAGACATTGATCTTATACAAAAATGGGTGATTTGTTCCTAATCTCTAAAACCTATTAAAATTAGTGAAAAACAAGAATATTTAAGAACAAGAATTCATGTTTATTTTATTAAATCAAATATATAATGCTTATTTTCACAAGCATAGTAATTAATGATAAAAAAGATATGCACTCTAATCTTAAAAGTAATATAATAATATAATAATAATAATAATAATAAGAAAAATTGTTTGTACGCGCTAAAGGGGAATTCACTTAAAGATTTAAGCTAGTGTTCGCAAACTATCGATACTATCGATGGTTTCAGACTTTTTTCTTTAATAAATACTTTTTTGTGATATCAACATACTTCGCAAAAATTAAATTTGACAAAAAAAAAATTAAGTACATAACATTTCAAATCGTGCTAAATGGAATAAAATCGTGTAAAAAAATTAAAAATATTCAATTTTCAAACCGTGTACAAAAAGACCGTGTAAAAACAGACTTAGGTATATATATATATATATATATATATATACATATATTGTTTTTTTTTTAAAGTTGCATGATTAAAAGCATGAAGTTGAATTGAATTCAATAAGTTTTAGGACTTTACGCACACGAATCTTGATTTTATCTCTGAATTTTATTTATATAATTTTATTATAGTAGTATGTTTCTTTTGTCTTATGTTTCTTCTATATTAATTTTATTTACCTGTTGTTTTCAAGTAACAACATATGATTGCTTGACAACATCGCGAACATGGCAACGGTGTTCGCGAGTTAACGCATTACACCGTTTGTCCCTAGCGTCTATCGTACGCGGTCATTTTGATTTGTATAAAACTATATAAACACTATTAACATATAAATTATACACAAACAGATATTCAATACATACTATATATACCATGTAATATACATGTACAGGACCGGCGATAGGGTCTTCAGCGCCCGCATACCATTTTTTCCCAAGCGCCTCCCCCCCCTTCTATTTTTCAAAATGTTTTTACGGTTTGTCATTGAAATTCTATGAAAAAGTACGTTATTTTTTGTTTGTTCGGGACAGTCCCGGATTTCCACCTTGTGTTCCGGGTTTTTCTAAAAACAATATTTGCCCCGGATTTATATCTTTTGTCCCGGATTGTCCCAGGTTTTCGAAAAGTATAGAAATAATTCGAAGAAAATTGAACACAATTTTATACCCTTTCCCCGGATTTTTCCACCTTGTGTCCCGGGTTTTTCTAAAAGCAATATTTGCCCCGGATTCAGATTTTTTGTCCCGGATTGTCCGGATTTTCGAAAAGTATAGAAATAATTTAAAGGAAATTGAATGGAATTTTATACTAAAATCAAAATCGAAAAAACATATATATATCCAAAAATAATAGATATGAAATAATAAAATAACTAGTGGTGTATGGCATTGTGCCTTAGGGCAAATTGCTGTAACTTCGCGTACGAAAAATATTGAATGTTTTTAAATAGATTTTTATGATTGTAACTTTCATTATTTTTATTTTATAAAAAGTAAATAAACAAACTTAATCAATCGGATTTAAAATGAAGATGAATAAATAATAATAATAAGAAAATGAAGATTATTCTCTAATATTTCTAAGTATTATATAAACTGAATTGCAAAGTTAAAATTATTTTTTTGAAGTATATAAGTGAAGTTTAAAACTTTAGCAAGAATTGAAATTAAAATCTAAATTATTTTCAATATACAAAAAAATAATCGAAAGCAATTGTTTCGTCAACACAAGCAAAAAGTTTTTCGAACCATTCAATTCGGATGCTTATTTCTCTCAAAAACTGCCATTTTTTGTATAATTAGCCCTGTATCTTCGAAATGGCTGGGCCTGTCTTTGCCAAAAACTAATCACCATTTCTCCCAATCATTACTAATTGAATGTTTTTTAGATCATTCAAATCGGATGCTCCGTTCTCTCAAAAACTCGATTTCTATTTTCTGCACTCCTTGCTCTGTATCTCCGTAACCACTGGACCTACCTTTACCAAAAACTAATCAGCACATCTCCCTATCAATAGGAATCGAATGTTTTTTGAACCATTCAAATCGGTCTATCCGTGCGCCAGGAAACGTGGACGAAAAAATGCGGACATACAAAACACACACACATCCATTTTTTTTTAGATATGCCAAAACGTTCAGAAACCTCTGAAACGTGAAGATATGCAAAAATATTTATTTTCGATTTCCGACCCATTACTATAACTTACCCTACGGGAAGTTAATAATAAAGTTCTTACTAGAAGTCAGTATTTCTCATTTAAAAAAAACGGGTTTGACTTTAAAAAAATATGGTCACCTTATAATATATTATATATTATATATCCGAATCTCTTGGGCATTCAGAGTAGCGCCGGCCCTATTCACACATATATATATATATATATATATATATATATATATATATATATATACATACATATATATACATACACATACACATACATACATTCACACGTATACAAAGGGGTGATTTGTTCGAAGACAATCTGAGATAATCACGAGATTTGAATGTCACAGATAATCCGCGTCTTATTACAGCGAGGTACATCAAAGGGAAAACTAAATGGAACATGAGCAATCACTGCTGATTGATGTCAAGGTGAACACACTTTGACTGGGGCTATTTTTTTACGGACGGATATTATGTTCACTATAATAATAATAAATAGTTCATGGTATGAGAGCACCACAGAATTAATGATTTGCCTCCCCTTATTTATTATGCTCACTAACTAATTAACAACCATTAATCACTTTTTATTATTTTTTTATGAATTTTTCTTCACAAACTTCTGCTTCCATGCTTCTTGGTCCTGTGTTTCGGCTTTCAGTTCCATGTATTTTCTCTTCTCGCGTAAGTCGTCAATCGTCTGCATTCTTCTTCTTCCCATTCATTCCTTTCAGTCCTTTTATTTTACCATCGACGACGGCGTGCAGGAGGCACTATTTTTGCAACTACCGGTTCAACCCCCACCTCGGCCAACTTGATATCACCTCATCTCTTAAAAAAAATCTCATCAGGTAGAGAAATGTCAACCACTGTTCTTTATAATAACAATATGAAGAAACATCATACCACAAGCCCTCATAGAATGTATGTATATATATAGTGCTGATTGCTTTTAAGGGGGTTGTTTGGTTTTTTTTTCGATTTTGAGATTTTTTGATATTATGAAAGCTAAGAACCTTAGAATTATTTAAAAAAAATCATCTCAATATCTATTTTTTTGACGAAGTTATAGATATATATATCTCTATATGTATGATCCTCTGAAACCGTTTTTTTCATCGCTCCGGAGCTATTGTATGCCAGCTGCTCTCTTTTTCATTATAATACCTCATGCACATGACCTTTTTAATGTGTCAGCATCTTTGAACACCATGGTGTATTTAGTACATTAAATTAAATGGTGTATTTAGTACATTATATTAAAAACTTTAAATACGTTTTTCTCAAATTGACTTTTTTCAATGCGGTGCCACAAATTAAAAAAAAACTACAATTCGGATTGACTTTCATTTTTTTTAATTTGTTCACCACTGCAATACCTAGTCCCCCTACCTCAAACAACTTCATAACATTACTCAAAAAAAATTGCGAAGCTTCTCGTCCCAAAAAAATGCCCTTTTTAACACTTGGTTTTTAAATAGCTGCCATTTTTTTCCTTCTTGCTTTTTTTCTTTCATTTTGGTAGGAGGACTGGATTCAAGCTTCTTCTTCAACGTAGTTTCGTTTTTTTTTGTTTCAGGCGATGCGCAACGGATTTATCTGTGGCACCGCAAAAGAGATCGATTTTGCAATGCCCACTTTGGCGCCCCCTGGTTAACAAATGACGGCGACAAAAAAAATATATAAAATTTCTTAATATTCTTTGATTTTGTAATTTTAGTTTAAAAAAACCGCATGTCTCTATGATAAATACATTTCGAGAAAAACAAAAACAAATACCTTGCACTTTTTGTAACAAAAAAAAGAACAACCCCCTTAAAACACGCCATACCAAACTATATCCCGATCAACTCGTATCGAAAATTGGAACACACTTATAATAACATTATTAAGTAAACTTGATTTCTTATAATAACAATATGTTAAGGAATTACATCACGACTCATCATATAATTTATGTATATATAGTTCTGATTGTCCGATCCAGTTTACTTTTCTTTTCAGGATTGTGCTCAGTAGAATCCTTTCTTCGCCCACTCGTCTCAGGACTTTTTCATTTGTTATCTTGTCTGTCTACTTTAGCTTCTCCATTCGCCTCCAGCACCACACACATGTTCACTATAATACCAAATATCTGTATATGCGTAGGTTGTTTGATCATATCTTTCGATGATATATACATCTATCCCCCGCTTTACTCGGAAGAGGTTCCATAAAAAATCGTGTAAGTCCAAAAATTTACCGTGCAAAACGTATATCACTATAAGAAAGCCTTTTTTGTCGGTTTTTAACATGATGAATAACAAACACATTGGATGAGAAATAAATATTAATATATTTAATATCAATACATTTAATAATTTATAACAACATTAATTGGTTTCAATAATCAAACAGGTATAAACAAAATAATCTTCGTATACCTCTTCGTATTGAGAATTCACATAAACACTATTTAAAAACAAATTTTTAAAACCTTCATGCTCTTTGTTTTGGTATTTCAAACACACCATCTTGTACGCACATAAAATTTAGTTTTGATCATAAAACAGTTCCCATCTTAAGAATCCGTAACTGTAACATGCATTTTGTAGGGTTGTATTTTGACAATAAAACAACGAAAATGTTATCGTAGATGCAAGCAAATTATAGTTTATAATTTCTAAAAAAATAAAATTATTTTTTAATATCAATACCGTG